ATTTTGAAGAACCAACTATAGTAAGAATTTTAACAGGAGTTGGTAGACTGCAACATTAATTCAATATTAAGCGTGCTTAATGAAGACTTTTGCAATAGTAAATCACTGGTAGACATTTTAGTTTTCTGTTATGATAATAATCAATGAGCCAATCTGTTTTTATTAAATGTAGAGGAAATTTTAAAATTTTTAAACAGGTTTTCTAAAAGAAGGATTGCTAATTGAATGATAAAATATATAATTCTAAACATTTTGCTCTCATAATTAAAAATCAGGCAATTCCTTCCATAATTAAGAAGATAAATAACTAAGAAGGAATCATGATACCCCGGAATTGTAGGAGTTGTAGCTTAGGGACATTGCTTCCTTGGGTAATAGTTGATAGTTTCAGGTTGTGGCTTTGGAGAGGAGAAATGAATTCAATGGCTGTTTCCATAAGGCTGCCACCAGATTTAGTTCTTCTATTATTTAACTTTTATATCAATTTTGATAGATGTATCTTCATATTCTGAGGCCATAATTTCTGGCTAAGAAAGATTTTAGATTTTAGATTTAGATTTTATTTATTATTTATAGGCCGCCCTTTTCCCTGACGGGACTCAGGGCGGCTTACAATTCATGGGAGGGGGTGTGCAAGACAAAACATAAGACAGTACGTGAATAAAAAAATAAACAATAAAACACAACTTTCATTCAACATTCGGGTGGGGCGGATTAAAATCTTTATCCCCAGGCCTGACGGAGTCCCTGACTTACAGCTATTCATTCAGCAAGTGTTCAAAGTTACAATGGCACTGGAAAAAAAGTGACTTACAACCAGTCCTCACACTTACAACCACTGCAGAATCTCCACAGTTTTACACGATCAGAAATCGGGTGCCTGGTAACTGGCAGAGATTTGCAATGACAGCAGGATCCCCAGGTTATGTACTAATTGCAATTTGTGGCTTTCCCAGACAACTACCAACAATAGCAGTAGCACTTAGACTTATATACTGCTTTACAGTGCTTTTACAGCCCTCTCTAAGTATTTTACAGAATCAACCTCTTGCCCCCAACAATCCGGGTCCTCCTTTTACCCACCTCA